TTATATGCAGAAAAAAAGAGTAGAAGTAAAGATATGCATTAATCCATCACATTCACAAGCAACTGTATGTGCTTAGATCTAAACATATTGAAAAGTACTGAATACGGTACAGTGGTATTAAAAGTGTAACTGTAGAGTTTCATAAGACTTTTTCTTTATGAAAAAATTGTCATAAAGTACCTTATTTAATATTAAACAAAAGTACAGAAAACAAAGTAAACAATAAACCATACTTAAAAAGAAATCACACTCCAGCTTATATAAACTCCACAGAGATAAACCTGGAGGAGATTAATTTTTAGTGCACTGGAAATTGCAGAATACAAAGGAAAAGTAATGTGATATTAGTGCCTATTCAGCCAAACTACAAGTAAGTTCTGTAGCATCCATTCTTTATTTTCAAAAATGTATCGAGTGTTTACCATTTGCTGGGCATTTAGAAATGGATACAGAAAAAAAAATAGGTAGTTTTCCATCCTCTGTCTTTGTTAGTTTATTATGATTCCAGGTAAACATCATCTTGTATAGAAAGAGCTCATAAAGCAATAAAGGAAAACACTTTCTACTCTATTTTGTAATCTGTGTCCTGTTGATGGTGGGAGCATGGGGGTGGGGAATAATATGTATGGTTTCCAACTGGCTTCTTGCCATCCCAGAGCAAGGGTTCAGAGATGATGTCCTCTAACGAAGTTCTATTTCCTAAAATGCACAGTGCTGTGGTTAGTTATAACTCTGGTACAAAGAATGATCTCTCCTTAGCTGCAGGGTGTTTTCAGGAGGGAGCAATTACTGGTAGATACTGGGTTTTGGATAGTAACATTTCTTGGCCAATTATATATTATCACCAAACATGTTCTTCCTTCTCCCAGCAATACTCCAGGAAAGGCTATGTCCCAGAGGAGACCTGTTTCTTTCCAGACCTGGGATGCGTAGCCATTTGATGAACCACAGTCCAAGGGCTGAAATTTTTGTCAGTCTGCAGACTGGTCTCCCAATCAGGATTAATGCTCAATTACTTTTTGGAGAACCCCAGGCAAAGAGATGTGTAGTTGAGACCCCTCAAGACTGACAAAACATGATATTAGCATACATAGTATGGCTCTGAAAAACCTTGGAGTAGATGGACTATATAAGGTGTGCTCACCTTTATGCTGAAGCCACGGAGTGAATTGTACATGTTTATCCATGAAAGAAGAGACAATTTTGAGCTTTTCCTTCCAAATCCAGTCCTCCTGTCAAAAGCTTCCAGCCAAGCTAAACACATATACTTTTAACTTTCCTTTACTAGCAGGTTAGTCCAGGATATTCTACCAGCAATAGAGATGCTTTGACAGAGGCTTTAGAGGGGTAGTAATGATGTTCTTTAGAGATTAAGAACACAGACTAGACTTGGCAAATGAAATGAACCACAGACGTGGAACTGTCCTTGAAAATGACTTAATGTTTTCAGTTGTCAGTGGGAAAAGTGAAGCTGAGAACCTAACTATCCAGTTCAAGTTGTACGAGCTTAGTTAAATAAGATCAGAGCCAGGCCTGTATTTGCAATTGCTGATTCACAGTTTTACTCCTCTATGCTGATTCGTTGTCTTAACGAACCTACAAAAAATGGCAGTTGACTGTAAGAGTTTAGGGTGACAAGGAATTCGATATAAATGAATGATTTAAAAGGGAGGTATGTTAATGTTTTTGGACTTGGGAGAGATTCTGTTTATTAGATCCTTTTCCTTCCTTCTGATATGCCTCTACAGTTCCCATTTATTAGACCAGTCTGTTTTTTTTTCTTTGTTTATAAATTTGTAAGTGGCATATTTGTGATACTTGCACACACTTTAATTAAAAACATTTCTTCTTTCTCATCACCTTTTCATTTGATGAAACTGTTGCCACTGCTAAATTGCAGCTGTTAATATCTTCTCAGTGACTTATAAGAACAGCCACAGTACTCAATTGCTGTCAGAGTAAAAAGAAAAAAAAAGTATACATAATTTGAGAAAAAGAGAGAACATGTCATACTATTACGAGAAGAGATTCAAGCTTTCCAGTGTGTTTGAGGAGAATTACAAGTGTTTAAAATCATTGCTCCAGTTTTGGGCGCTAAGGTTAGGATTACCTCTGCTTCAAATACTTTCACATTATTCTATGCGTTTCTTTTCCAGAGGTAACAGGGGTTTTATTTTTTATAATGACTTTATCAGAGTATAATTGACAAATGATAAACTGCAAATATATAGTGTACACAATTTGATAAGTTTTGACATATGTATATACACAAATCATTATCACAATTAAAATAACTAATGTATTCATCATCTCCAAAAGTTTCCTTTAAAGGATCCTTTGTAATCTCTCCTATCCATCTTTCACTGTCCCTTCACATTGCATACGGATGTCCAGTTGTTTCAGCAAAATTTGTTTGGAAAAAACTATTCATTTTCCGTCCACTAAATTGTCTTTGTACCTTTGTATAAAATTAGTTGTCTACTTATGGGTAAGTCTATTTGTAAAGTCTGTTTTGTCACATTGGTTGATTTTTCTATCTTTTCACCAATGGTACACTGCTTTGGTTACTGTAACTTCGTAGTAATTTTTGAAACAAGATATTGTTAGCCTTGCAACTTTATCCTTGGTTATTCTAGGTCCTTCTTTTGCATTTCCATATGAATTTTAGAATGGGTTTGACAATTTCTACCAAAAAAAGTTTGCTGAAATTTTGATTGAAATTGATCTATAAGTCATGTAGGTAGAATTGTCTTCTTAACAATATTGAGTCTTTGTCCCATGGATAGGGCATATCTCTCCATTGATTTAGATCTTTAATTTTTGTCACCAGAGTTTATTAATTTTCAGTCCTTCACACATTGATTCTCATTTAAATAGACACATGTCTTATTTAAATACATTCACTTAAAAATTATTTTCACTTCCTTGGATGAAAACCAATATCACTTGCTGCTGTAATTGGAAGGTAACTTTGATAATCAAATAAAAACAGAAAAATAGTGTTAAATTCCAGGTTAACAGTGGTACTTGAAGCTCTTAATTTTTTTTTGTTATAAAGCACAATAAGTCTTTAGAGATTCTAAAGGCATATTTATATCAAGTTGATCCTTTTCCTTTAGGTTACCAAGTCTTAAAAATAATAGAGAAAAGGATTGTTTTCTCACTAGGTAATTGATTGTACTTTATTTTCAAAGATTTATTTATTTATTTGAGAGAAAGAGCGTGAGCAGGGGTAAAAGCAGAGAGAAAATTCTTAAGCAGACTCCTCACTGAGCACGGAGCCTGGCTTGGGGCTCCATCCCAGGAACCCGAGATCATGACCTGAGCAAAAATCAAGAGTAGGATGCTCAGCTGATTAAGCCACCCAGGCGCCCCTTCACGGTACTTTAATGATCCACATAGCACTAAAAACTCATTTCTCAAATGTTGGATTTGTGTTCCACAGTTAGGGAATAACTAGCTATTAGACAGGAGTGGAATGAGCAAAGATCTAGAAGTATGAGAAAATTTGAGTATTATAGAATCTGCAAAGGGTAGACATTCCTAGAGTGGTAGTTTTAAACCTTGGTTGTATATAATCATCACCTTGAGAGTTTAAAGACTCAGACCCAAAGAATCAGAATACTTGGATTGGAGAATTTATCTTTTAGAAGTTCCCTAGGTAGTTCCAGAGCTTGGGAAGGGGTGCAACACCTCTATGATAGGATGTTTGGATGTTGGTATGGGAGGATGGTGTTCGTGGGGATGGTGTGAAGCGGGCAGGCAGGAGAAAACCCAGATTGATTAGCAATGTCTGCCTTGGATGTCCGTGGTTGTGATGGTAAAAATGTCATTGCTACTTACCATTTTAGGGCTAGAATATGAATTGCCTGTTAAGGTAGTTGAATATTATTTTGAAGAACTGACAAGAGTCCTGACTCTCCTTTCCATTAAGAGCAAACACTCATGAATTTTCTGCCTCAAATGCTCTTTTGGTTTAAAAGCAATATGATCTTTTCTTAAGATTAAGGGCATTAAATGTGTATTTTAAGAGTGCATATTATGATAGAATATTTAAAGAATGGTCTAAATGGCCTTTCCCAGTAGTTTACAATAGAAATGTGAAGTATTTTTGAAACAGCTTTAACACAATTGCTTATAAAGACTTCCACGTAAGAAATGCATAAGGACTTATTTGGGGGGTCGCATTTCAAAATATAATAATGCGTGCAATCCAAAATTGCATTTGTAAATAAACAGAATGAACGAGAAGAATCCGTATGTGAATGAATTCCCTTCATTATTTATCCATTGTTTTGATGCAGTCCTAAGACCCATTTAAAATAAAGCATCTTTCAGGTGCATAATATTTGCCATCTGTCAAGCTGTGCTTTCTCATTAACATTGGCCATGCTGTCATCCTGAAAACTTCACCGGGGAAAAGGAAAAGGAAAAACAACTACACATCCAAGTTTTCAAACTTGCTTGGAGAAGCGTGAGACTGAGAAAAGAACTTCCAATCTTGCTTAATTTAAGAAGGGCGGAAAGAGGCATGGCAGAGGGCTTGATTATTTCACAAAAATAGGCGTTGAGGAATTCATGGGGAGGCAAGTGGGAGAAAAAGGCTTTTTTGGGGAAGGGACCTTGACAGCCCATCAAGAGGTTTCTTGTGTCTCCCACCGTCCCTCCTCCCAGGCGGTCCCACTCCGCCCGCCCGCCCTCTCAGGGCTTCAGCGCTCGGCCGGTGGACCCGGTGGGCGGGGTAGCCTCTCCCGCCGTCCCTTCCCTCACTCAGAGGGCTGAGCGCGCGGAGCAGAGGGGCATTAACTTAGCGCCCCGGGACTCTTGAGGCTCACTGGGCATCTGCGCCTCTTAGCGTCTCCAGCCCCCGGAGGGAATTCTGTCGAACTTTGTCCGTGTGTGGGTGGGAGGCAGCGGGACCACGGCCGGTCCTCGCGCTCCCCGCTCCCGGCAGGGTTAGCTGTGGCCTGCGCACTTCGCTCGCCAGACACTTCTCGGGAATGGAGCAGTCACAGTGTGGCAGCAGAGACCGCAGCGGCAGCGGCCGAACCCACTTGGCCCCGGGGCTGGTGGCGGCCGCCCCTCCGCCCCCGTCTCCGGCGCTACCAGTACCCCCGGGGATACCAGTTCCTCCAACTTTCCTGCGGCCACCCAGCCTCTTTCTGCGGGCCGCCGCGGGAAGCGGAGGCTGCCCGTCGGCTCCCGGACTGGAGAGGGGCGTGGGTGTGGTGGGCTGCGGCTACCCGCGGACACCCAAGTGCGCCCGTTGTCGCAACCACGGCGTCGTGTCGGCACTCAAGGGCCACAAACGCTTCTGCCGCTGGCGGGACTGCGCGTGTGCCAAGTGCACCCTGATTGCGGAGCGCCAGCGCGTCATGGCCGCCCAGGTGGCGCTGCGCCGGCAACAGGCCCAGGAAGAGAGTGAGGCCCGGGGGCTGCAGAGGCTCCTGTACCCTGGACCCTGCGGGCCTGGGGGTCGGACATCTGGAGGCCCTGGCAACCGAACGGAGAATTCCCAGGCCTCCAGCGGCCCTGCGGCGGTGACGGCGCTGGGACTGGGTGCCTTGGCGACCCCTGCTTTCCAAGTTGTCCAGCCAGATAATACGGAGCTAAAACAAAGTAAGTTGGTCTTTTCATTTACCCTTTGCAAAAAAAAAAAAAAATGGTTGTTTTGGAAAAAAACTCTTGGAAACAAGTAGCCATGTCTTGGTGGTGGGCAAGAAAAGTTGTTTAAAAGAAGCACTCATTTAAGTTCTGGGAAACTGCTCTGTAATAGAAATGTTAATGAGGGTGTTAGAGACACATACCTTGAAGGGGCGTTCTGTACCTTTAGATTATAGGATAAGATAATGTAAAAGTGAAGCGAGTGATAGATGAGCAACTCAGGCTAGGAACAGAATTTGCATCCAATTCGCTATTACTTTGGGTGAGTTAGAGCTTGAAGCGGGCATTGGGTGAAAAGCTTACTTAGAGAAGCTGGGTTTTGGGTTTGCTCTATACTCTTTTCAGCTATAAAACCAGAGTTAATCTTCCAGTAATCCTGGGAAATTCACTGAGGGTTGAGAGTACAGTTCCTCATCTTTGGGGCAAACCTTTGGTGCCAGCTAGAAGTGGGAAAGAAATCTGAAATCTACCAAACCTTTTTTCACCTCCTTTCCTTCCCTTAAAATTTTAAGCACCACCCCATGACTGTTTGCTAGCCTCCAAAAGTGTAGAAAGCTCTAAATTTGAAGTTTCAGCTCTTTCCCATAGAAAAAGAATTTAGGCTTTCCAGATTTGTAAAACCATTGGGAAGAAGAATTTCAAAGTCCAGTATCTTATCCAAGGAGTTTTAATTTTTTTCCTCTTATTTTTTGACCGCAAATCACCTTCATCCCCTTTGTTTTGTAAAAAAGATATAAGTATTTTTTTATTAGAGTTATCTCAAATTAAGTTTTCCTGCTGATGTAAATCTCATTGTATTTTAATGAATTTCCCAGCCCTCTACAGGTAACACTAGCAGTGTAAATGTCATTTCAGTATTTTTTTAATAAATTCAAGACAGGTTGTATCATACGAAATTCTATAATGAAAAGTAAGTTATTAATTAGAAAACTTCCCTGAATTGTGAAAATTGCAGATCTTTTTGGATCACAGGATGTACTTTTGAAAAAGACTCTCTCTGTATTTAAATAAGGCATATATGATTTTGTGTTCACCTATGCCAATGTTTTGCCCATGTTCTAGTTCTTTTCAGTGGACAAAACATTAACATTTCTCATGAAAAATCAAAGAGTGCTGAAGAACAAAGTCATTAAGCAAATAACTGCTATAAAAAAGAAAAATTCTGTAAACTAAATTGTCCGTGAAATCTGGCTGATAACTCTGTTAGACATTGATTTATATGATTTTGGGGGGAGTACCCAAAGTGTTCTCTTTTTATTTTATTCTTTGCCTCAGTTGACCTACTTTTTTGAAAAGCCACGTCTGTAGTTTTTCTAAACTGACTGCATCCTCTTACCCAATATCCATGAGCTGCAGTAGTCTATTTAATTTACTCACTCATTAGACAAAGACTAACAGTGATTCAGAGGCAAATAAGATTTTTCTGCACACAAAAAAACTTACTTACAAAAGAAGGAAGACTATATGTATCCAACATAAGACAAGATATACAGTGATAAAAGTAAAGAAATAAAACCAGATATAGGAGTTGAGAAAACAGAGAGATGATGCAAATGATATCACAGTATCTTAAAAATACCTTATTTTCCAGAGACTTATGCAATCAGTACTTTATTGCATTATATTGTACTCTTATGAGTACAGTATACTAGTAAAAATTGTTCTGTGCATAAATTGCTGTAGTCATGAAGTTTTGATACCTTACATGTTTGGGGGGCTGCGTATTTAGTGGGTCATAGTTAGAAATAAAATGTAATGGTGGACCAAGGCCAGTCTCTTCCCACTTGATAGACTTCATTAGAAAAGTTTCATTGTTTCTTTTAAAGTTGAAAATACTAGAGAGTCTTTGTAGTTTTACAGGAACAACACCTTTTCTTTTGTTATCTGTTTGATACAATGACAGAATTTTAACCCTCAAAGTGTTAAATTGCATACACTTTAATTTTAAAATGAAGTATAGATACTTCTTTAGAATTTAGGACTGCTTCTTGAGAAACCATAGCAAATCGTGTGTGCAAATCACTGCTTTAGGCGGTATTTGTTTTGTTGAATTCATAACATTTGTAGAAAAAGGTTTGACAAAATTCTCTGAGTATCCCACTTGACAGTTTACTCTTTTTAATGGAAATAGAGGTAAAATATGTTTATAGGATAAGAGGAAATGTAAACCAAAATAAAAGTTATTTAGTGAATGTATACATTATTATTTTCCTGTCATAAACTGTGCAAAAGGGCATTTAAAATGTTTACCGTTTTATTAATATTAATATGCTCAACATGTTGAGGTGTAAGATCAGATTTTTGTGTAAAAATATTTTTGGAAAACTGCCCTTAATATTGGGAGTTGTGATTTGAAGCAAATAACCAGTATGTTGTTTTTACAAGACACTTTGAAGATACGTACAGATTGCAATAGTGCAATAGTGTAGTTTATAATTTTCTTTTAGAAACAATTTGACTCTAAATATTTTTAAAAAATATTTCCTAGGGATTGAAAAAGTCCATATTTCATAGGGGATTATTAAAAAATACCAAGTCTGTATCATCTCTCACATAAAATGAAATATGTAAGCTCTGGTATGATTTGAGATTGGTACAGTAGTGGTGATTATTGTTTTAGATTTGAAGTGAAATGAAGAATTTGTTGTTTTTCACATTATTCAGGTAACTTAATTGGAACCTGAAATGTGAGCATTAAAAAAAAATTGAAACATAGTATTATTTATTAAATAGAATGTTCATTTTCATACTGAGGTTGTTCCTTCCTTTGACTTCTTATCTAAATAGTCATTTTATTTAGTTCTTTTTGCATAGTGTCATTTTGAAAAAAAAAACCAGGATAAATGAAATTTGGGTAAAATTTAGGAAAATCTCAAATCACCAAATGGGGCAAATAATGTGAGATATTGGTTTCACATTAATAGTTGGGGTAATATTAGACTTTTATCTTTTGATTCCTAAATAACTATAGCATTTATATATTATATATTTTGTGATCTTGGAATGACCTAGTAAATAGCATTTTCCCACTATTCCAATGCCTTTACTTCTGAAGGACCTTTTAAAATTCTTACTCATTAAAGTCTCTTGCAGCAAATAAATATTATTAATATATTATGAGTAAATGAATTATTTTATCCAGCATTATTTTCAAGTAGGCAGTACTTGAACTCTGTGTTTTGGGAAGTTTTCCTTTATTTGATTCTTTTTTTCTTTTCTATCCCCCAGAACTAAAAGAGAGTAAATGTGACTCAGGCCAGAGTGGACAAGAAGAGCCAGTCTCTAAATCCCATCAGTGTACTCTGGGATCATCTCCTAAGTCTAATGGTGTCATTGGAAAACAAAACATCAGGCCAACTATTTCAGAAAGCTTGAACAAGGAAGATAATATTCAGCCTCTTCACCCTGGGGAGCTATCAGGAGGGGAAGAGAGTCCCAGATCCCTGTCATCATCTGATCTGGAATCAGGAAATGAAAGTGAGTGGGCCAGAGACTTCACTGCTACCAGAGCCAGCCTTCCCACACTGTCCTCAAGACCAAGAGACCCTCTTGATATCCTTACCAGGATTTTCCCAAGTTATAGGCGTAGCCGGCTAGAAAGCATTCTGCGCTTCTGCAAAGGGGATGTGGTTCAAGCCATTGAACAGGTCCTAAATGGGAAAGAACACCAGCCAGACACCAGGGACCTAGCAAACTCAGGAGAATTGGAAAATACAGCTTTTCAGAGAACTTCAAATTTTAGTTTAGGTGGAATTGGTTTTGGAACTCCAGGGAATAAATCAGCTTTCTCTCCTCTTCAAACTGCTTCTGCTCCTTATGGAGGTGATTCAAGTCTCTACAGCTTAAATCCTAGACTAGGTATCAATCCATTACGGCTGGCATACTCCTCTCCAGGAAGGGGGCTCTCTGGTTTTATGTCTCCTTACCTAACTCCAGGGTTGGTACCAGCATTGCCTTTCCGACCAGCTTTGGATTATGCATTTTCAGGAATGATTAGGGAGTCTTCCTACCTTCCCAGCAAAGACTCAGTAACTGGTGGCAGATTGTATTCCAGGCCAAATCAGGACAGTCTGTAATATTTCTGCCTATTCTCCCTTTTTGGAGTATTTCTAAAAGCATGCAATACAACCCACAGACCCAGCCCTATTAATGTGTACACTATGGATGTAAATGGCATACTAGACCTTAAAAATACTATTTTTTTTTTACAACCAGTATGATTTGAGATCGAAAGATTCCTCTTTGGCATTTACTAAGTGAAAGAAGCATTTAAACCTTATATGTGCCTTGAATAAAGTCATTTCAGGAAATATTTGTACTTTTATGAATTTTCTCCCTAAAATATCAGTTGTAGAATTCCTATAACTAAACTTGTTTTTATTTTGTTGAAAAATGGAGTTTATAGTTGTAAAGTACATTTATAAGTGTAAAGCAATCCAGCATATAAAATGAACTAAAAGGAAGAATTGAAAAGTTGAGGTAATTCTAAATGACTGTTACTTTGAACTTTTTCTTTCCTTCTGTTCCTTCTTCTGTTCCTTGTACACAGGAGAGAAATATTCAAAGTATTTTAAAGCATTTTATTCACATATAAGTGATTAGTAATAAGTAAAACTTTTGAGAAATTTAAATTCCTTATTTTTTTCTGAATGTCTTACTTTTCATTCATATCAGCCAATTGTGATAACAAGTGCCATTAATAAAGCATTTCTCTTTAAAGTGAACTTTGTAAATTACACAAAGCCTGTGAAGTAAATTTTAGGAAATGAGACTGCACCATCTCCTGGCCACTATCACTAATTGCATCTAAGTTCTGGTAAAGTGTAGGAATTAGAAATGAATAGTTTCCTCATAGTATAAGTTAACATTGTTTTGAAACCGTCATTTTGAATCATGCTACATAGAAACTTTCATATCATGAAGTGAACGTCTGCCGTGGGTTAGGATTTTAATCTTTGTATCTGGAGAAATATTCCTTTCCATATGTTTGTGGCAAGAATATATGGCAGCCATTCTCAAAGGTAAAAATAGTCTTACTCAGAAAATTTAAATACTTGCTCAGATAAATATTGATTGTAGGTAGATGATGCTTAATGCATTGAGGAAAGTTATCAAATTTCCAAAGGGGAAATACTGTCATTAAATTTTAGAGGATTCCATGAGATTTTAATAATACTTTTTGTTCTCCATCTGAAGCATATGAAAGCTGTTTATTTCAGTAAGTGGAATGTCCCTGAGAAAACTGCTTATAAAACAATTTCATGCAGTTTTCTTTATATGTCATCATTTTTTTAAAGGACAGTATCTTCATTGTGATTGTTAGAAATAAATGAAAACGCAGCTGTGGTGTAAGATAGTTGATGAATTAGAAATAGTTGAAACAGCTTGAGCAACATGATTCACTAAAAATTTCTTAAATTATATATATGTGTGTATGTATGTGTGTGTATACATATGCATATATATTTTACCAGCAAATATCATAAATGCATAGGATCTGATGATGATTTAGGATGTAGATATATTTAATACAGTATGCATTACTTTTAGTGGTGTGAATATGAGAAAGCAGATCTTGTAAAGATTTGTTGTAATCAGTATTAATTATTTATGAAAAAAGTTTTAGATTCTAAGCCTAAACCATAATACAATGCTGGGCAAGTAGTTGATATTCAATTAATATATACTGAATGGAGGAACCATTTTGGATAAAAGATCTCTCTGAGATTCTGGTAAAACCAAAGAACTCCACACAATGGCCTATGCCCAGTTTTGCATATAATTTCACGAGATTCTTGGATCTCTAAATGCCATTCACCATTCAGTTTAGGATCCTTGGTGATTCTTAAATTGTTTTCATTGCATTGATTCATTTTTTCAAAAGCTATGTTTTTGAAAAGTACTAGATCCTATAGAGGATACCAAATGTAAAATATTGTGCTCTCAAGGAAGTTACATTTTACAATAGAGACCTGGTTTAAAAAATACAACAATGCTAGAGTCATTGGATTTTTTATGTGGTTCATATAGTGATGTGCATGTATCCATTTGAGAAACTGAATTGCTTTCGAACTGGGGGAATATCCATTTTGAGCCATATTCAAGTTAAAAAATAATTTTATAATCTTAAAACTTAAGTTAATTTACATAATGCTTTATACATTTCATAACCTTTATAATAATTTTAGAACTAAATAAGCTTGTAGAGTAGGTCATTTTGTCCAACATTAAATTGAATGTGAGGAAATTGAGGGTCAGCAGTAGTGTTGTTCATCCCCAAGGTTACCATAATAGTGTCAGTCATCAGAAGTAGAAGTTACTTCATCAATTTCAATTAGACTATAAGGTCTGAGGAAGGATTCCTGTCTGTCTACTCACAGCTTTGTATAGTATCTGGTACATAATAGGTGCTCAAGTAATAGTTTTCCATGACTGAATGAAACATAAAAAAAAAGTATTAGCTTAGAATTTTGTTTATTCAACAACTATTTATCAAGCCCCTACTTTGTGCCAGGCACTGTGCTAGACACAGGGGATAAAGTGGTTAATAAGATTCAAGACGTCACCTCAAGTTGCTCATAGTCTCTATTACCATGTGTACAAAAGCAACGAATTATGCAGTGTTGGTACTGTTTGACAATGTTGGTACATCAGTGAGTTCTGTGTAATCATGAGGTTTATGCTCACGAATACTGCTTGAGGCCTGAACTCCTAAACCACTCATTAGGAAGAGGGGCAATATTTGCTTCCATGTAGTGTGTTTAGGGGAGTGCAGTTTGTTTGTCTGAGAGGTAAACAACTTTAAGGTCTATAGTGAAAGAAGTGGGCAAAGAGAAACCTTTTTCCCTTGAATGGAGTGTGTGGAAGTCACCTTAGCTTCCTTATGGCCTCTGGATCAGAGATATTTCCTAATCCCAATTCCAGCGGTGATTTTTTGGAATTCCTCTGAATCTGTGCATAGGCCTCCTGGTCTAAGCTCTCATCTGGCTATTCTATGAAAATGGGTTAGAGTTGAGGGGACAACTGAAGAACATGTGGTTCAAGTGATTTACTTTTTTCTCTGCAACTTCTACTGAAACAAAAGGATTTTGGGGATTTTAAGACCTTCCTTCCTAGAAATTCCTAACTGTGAACTTAGAACTAAGAAAACATGAAGTGTCCTATTCATTCAACTTTTTATTTTTTTAATTGCAGTTTCCTTAGACATTTGTTTTTCTTTGAAGTTAAAAAGCCTTCACAATACAAGAGAAGCTTGGCATAAAGCACCTAATTATTTACTACTGTAAATTCTCTTATGTACAAAATGAGATGAAGTGCATCATCAGCTTCATAAAGGCAAAGCTTTTCTTCTGGGCAACGTGATTTTTTTTATTATTATTTTTTAAAGATTTTATTTATTTATTTCACAGAGAGCGACACAGCGAGAGAGGCAGTACAAGCAGGGGGAGTGGGAGAGGGAGAATCAGCCTTCCTGCAGAGCAGGGAGCCCAATGCAGGGCTCTATCCCAGGACCCTGGGATCATGACCTGAGCCGAAGGCAGACACTTAAAGATTAAGCCACCCAGGCCCCCCTGGGTGATGTGATTCTTAAGTGTGGATGCTCATCCTTTAGGTCAAGGGTAGTGGGAAAAGTTCCTGCCCAGATCCTTTCTTCTCCCTCCTCACACATCTCCAAATAATTCTGTTATGGATGCCTGCCTTGCAGAGCTAGGCCCTTAGTTATTTGGCATTGCCCCCTCCAAACTGAGGCTGTTTTGGTGTAACACTTCAGAGCAGTTGTGCCAAACATTAAAATAACTTCTGTGTTTTGTTTTGTTTTTGCTTACTAAGTATTATTCAAATGAGAGAAATTCATTACCAATTTCCCCTTTCTAAACTCCATGTTAGTGATGGGGAATTCAAGGGATGACAAGATGACAGGGAGAAAACTATGAAGATATCTGTGTCTTACTTTTGCTTATTTGGTAATTTAAAAGAACTGACGTTTTAATTTTTTTAGACTGTCACAGCGTCCTTAAGTCTGTAGTCTTATGAGGATGCTCATAGTTTTAAAATGGGTACACAAATGTGGACTTAAAACATCTATGTCAAAAAATTGCTTTAAAATAGCGAATATTTATTGAACTCCATCTTAGTGACAAGTTCATTCAAGAAAAAGAGACTGGATATAGATACAGTTAGGAGGAAATATATAGAAAGTTGAACAAACATGCTAAAAAATATTAATTAGAAAAAATATGTCAAGCAGGAAGAGTTTTAGATTCCTGTCCTTGACCTTTTATAAATTTTTTATCAACCAGTTAGATGAAGGAACAAAGGTATAAAATTCATTGTTGTCTTATTCATGGACAACACACATCTGAGAAGGGCAGCTGATTTTTTGGAGGACAGAATTAAGTTTTAAATAATTGACTCTCATCCTCTATCTCTCATTCAAGTGAACGGATAGAATATTCAAGATCCTAGGATTAAAAAAAAAAATCAACTGCACACATAGACAAGGAAGAGAGACCTGGATTTACAATAAATTTTTAGAAGAAAAAGTAGTGTTATTTACTGATTGGTAAATTCATCATGAGATTATCATGTAACATGCCTGTTCTAAAAGTCCACTGAAATTAGATTACATGAATAGGAATAAAGTATGTGGAATGAGGGACGTGAGAGTACCATGTACTCTGGAATATCAGTTGGCCAGGTATTAGCTAAAGTCATGTGATCAGTTCTGAGTGCCATACACTAAGAATAGTTCTAAAACCGGGAACAAAACAGAGGGTATAAGATGCTAAGTGGTGATTGTGGTGGTGGTAGTAGTGTTTTATGAGAAAGTGTTAGAAATAGGATAAATGAAAACATTTTAAAGAGCTAGCATATGACAAAAATGAGTTGGGGTCATTCTGTAGAGCGTAGAGGGCATGGAGAGTAAAAGTTACCTGGAGAGAGAATTCAGAGGAACATAAAGAAGGACTGTTTGGCAGTTAGCAACTGTCCAAGAGTGGAATGGCTGCCTTGTATAACAATATATCCTCTACTCATTGAAAATGCCATGTAGAAATTACCGTTCGGAGACTTGATG